CGGGAGAGGGGAAGGGTCAGAGGGGGATTTGATTGAAGTGTTTAAGATTATTAAGGGTATTGATAATATAGATCCTTTGACCTTTTTTGTGTTTAACAGTGAAAACAATTAGCAAGGGGTCATAAGTTAAAATTTTGGCAGTGTAGGAGTCGTCTGCAGTTTAGACAGTATTACTTTTCCAATAGGGTGGTTTGTTTTTGGAATGAGCTGCCTTCAAAGGTGGTGGAGGCAGAAAATTTAATTGAGTTCAAGAAAAGATTGGATGAATACATGAGTATTAAGGGGTGGTTATAGATGGGAGCTGGAAAGAACATCCTTGATGGGCTAATAAGCTTCTTTTTGTCTCTTAAAAATTTTATGAAATTTATCACATTCACACTCATGGTCATTGTTTTGATTTGTTAGGCTAAGTCTCTACAGACTCCATGTGAATTATTAATATGCATAACAAAGCTTCTTGCTATAGTGATAGACCTAATATATTACAACATTAGTACTTAGTGTAACTTACAAACTTATTCAAACAAAGGCTCTACAGGCTTGCCTACAGTACATGTAATACAAACAAGTAATAAAAAACAATTAGTAATAGTAATATGATACATAATTTACTATTACTAAATAGTTTTTATTAGTTGTTTTATGAATTTTTTCTCCAGACTGAAAGTTAGTGTATTCTATGAATCTGTGTTATAACATTTAGTATTACATGTATTGGTTTTTTTTTTTACTTCTTCACTTCATACTTAATATAGGGGGTTGGCTCCTTAAAGACACTGATTGTATAGTGTACAAAGCATTGAGTATTCTACATGTTACAGTCATCTAATATCCACCTATTATTGGCCGGTAATTCCTGTTTCACCCTGTGTGTAAGCTTTTTAAAAGAACACCAGCTTTCTGTAAGAAAGCAAACTTCAATGGGTAATTATAACATCATTTACAGTAGAATTGTGATTTTTGTTGTTGTTTTTAAAATTACTACTAGTTATTACGACAAAGCAATGACATTGTGCACTGCCCAGAAACACAGATTGGATTTAGGTTTAAACTGATGTTAGTGATAAAGTAGTTGTAGAGTTATCTTGACTGAAACAAAAAGAAAGGTGAACAACTTGGAAGGTTGGTCACCTTCTGGTTTGGTATCTAAGTGATGGTTTCTTGCCTTGTTTTTGAGCTTGTTGAGTAGAGAAACAAATGAAAGTAGTGGCAATAATTTTTTAAAGTAAAACTCCCTATTATTGTTAATTTTTTAGTGGGCATATTTGTATTAATATTATGCCTATTGAGTACCTTGGCCATCCCTACAAAGAAAGTCTACCAACTCTGTGATACTAGTAATAGTAGTAGCTAGCAGTAGTAGATACAAGCACATGGAAAAAAAGAAATTAAAGGGTAAGCTAGCTAAATGAACTAAGTATAATATAGTAATTTTAAAAAGATGTGTACTGTTTTTGCATATTTGTAAGTTGTAGGCTTTAACAGTGCATACCATTGGCTGAATGTCAGTTCCCAGAGAGTGGTTTTGGATTAGAGCTGGACCAACGAACATAAGTCCTCACATGTCTTAGTAGGGATTCCTTGTCCTACCACAGTCGCATGGTTCTGCCCCTTGCACTCCAACTCTGTGAGGTTCAAACCCAGAAGATGATGTTGCAAGGAGTAGAACCAGTCTAATTGGTCTTCGATTTAATTGAACTGACACACTGACACATCCCTTTCTACTGTCATTCAGATGTTGGTTTCCCAAGTGGCTGGTGTTGGTTGTGGATTTGCACTCACATGCCCTGTTTAGTCAGACAGTACAATATTTCTCCCTTCTGTCTCCTAAACTTGTATGAAGACAGTGTTGACCCTCCTTTTACCATGGGTCAGACAATACATCCCTGATGCTGCCTGGTTTTGGACTGGAGTTGACCTGCTGGGTGTGGTCTTATGCACCCTAGCCTTTCTACACCATGGGGCACATCATTTTTAGCTTTTCCCACCATTACTTCTGTGGTTGGGGACCCTGCATGCATTCATCTCCTGGGTCGTGCTTTCCGGAGATTTCTGTGGACTGTAGGGCCAGAACAACTTTCTTTTCTATCCCATCAGAGATACGTGTCTCATGATTTCTACCCAATTAAGCAACACTTACTACCACACAGAGCAAAGAGTAAACCTGATATAGAAGTGGTGCAGTCTTCCACGGGTGTTCCTCTCCTAACAGAAGTCAATCTCCATGGTTGTTCTTTGGATGCTTTAGAAGGATTGTTATTTATATCCCTTACACCAGTCCCTTCACCCTTTTATTGTGGGATTCTAGTTATTATTTTCCAACAGTTCCCACTCTCCCTCCCCACTACTGGTGCTTAATCTCTAACTAATCTTGAAGTGATTGTTAGGTGAAATCAAATAGAGGGAGTAACCTGCTTCAGAAGAGTGTGTTACACTCATATTGGGGGAGGGTTGTTGCATGATAATTTACATGCAAAAATGCAGTAAACCACAATGATCATGGGGGAGTTTCAAGACTACTTGAAAGTGAAAAAATTTTGCATATAGAGAGCAGCAGTGAATGAGAAAAGGTATTATGTGAGAGAAGGTAAGTACCTATCAGAAATATATTTTCAGTGTAGGAAAATAATAACTTTTTGTTGAGGTATGTGAAAAACTGTACATCTGAAAAAAAAAATTGACAACTACAAAGCTTAATGTATCAGCAAACATGTTTTGCTCTGAGCATTTTTCATCTACCAAATAATTAGCAGTAGATCAGTAAGCATGTTGCTAATAATGTGTTTATAGTATCTACATTAAAAAATGAAGTAAGCCTTCTATTTCTAACATATCAGTTTTTAAGCTTAAACTAATAATATAATTAAGTTAAATGCTATATTTTAAATTCCATGTCCTAGGGTTACATAAATTTATTACAATTATCCCACTTACTCCTCCTTTGTTTTTGTTATTGGGTTTGAACTTGCTTATTCATCACTACTTTTTCATGAATCATGCAGTTTTTAGTACTGTGACTTAACCTTAACAGTGAATATGCTAAAGTTGGAAGAAAATGTCAAAGAATATTCAGTTGTCCATAGTTTTTTTCAGTAATGAAATGCATGTAGATTATGAAACTGTGACCATATGATGCAAGACTTGCTAAGAAACAAAGGATTAATGACCAGTTGCGTGGGCAGGCTCATTCATAAATAGATAGATATTCAATGTTGATTAATTATGTCTATAAATACACTATTTTGATTCACGTTTTTTAAAACATGTAGCATTGATATGAAATTGAAAATTTAGAACAGCTGATGACCAATAATGGCTAAAATATTAACCCTGTGTGCATGGGTAGAGGTGAAAGTGAGCATGCTATGACCTTTTACAGAGTATAATTCAACATAGTATTATGTATTTGATGTCAGAGTAATCAACTATTCATTTTTACCCTTCACAACATTTTATGGTAGACGAGAGAGTAAATACCAGATACAAGCATAAAGAGATACTAAAAGATTTAGAAGTGTATTTTGGAGCCTGTAGAGGTTATTCAAATGCAGTAAGTAAAAACTATATGATGGACAAAAATATTGTTATATTTCATATAAACATTACCTTGCACTCCAACCAGTCCTCTAGTGGAATATCAGTAATTTTACAGACTTACAACTCTAAAGTCTGGGGTTTGATTCCTCATGGTGGACACAGCAAATAGCCCAATGTGGCTTTGCTCTAAAACAAACTAACAGTACTCTAACCTGTCCGAGTCAGACTGATGCCATCAGTTTTCAGACATGTCTAAAGTACAAATACTTTTGTAACACATCTGATTTTTTGTGTACAACATATTTGTTAATTTTACTTGTAGATTGCCATATTTTGTGTAAATACTCTTGGTAAATTTGGAATTATAGTCAACATTCTTTCTTCAATATGAGGTCGTCATTAAATTGACCCAATGCGTATTTGGTTAATGACCCACAGCCCAAGTTTTATAGTACTTTTATACCTCAATCTGTTACTGATTATGCAATACATTATTTAATAATTTCTAAAGTGTGCTGTATTTTAGCCAAAAATAACCAATGACAAGTTTGAAAAAATTTTTCCCAAGTCCACAAATGGACTTCACCACTACCATTTGTTTAAGCACATAACTTTACTCATGAAAAAGCTGATACAGTATCTTTTTTTCTTTTTTTTTCTTGGAGGAGAGTGGTTCAGTATATTTAGTCATAGTTCTTAACTGTGGTTCATAAATAAGGGAAAAAGGAAGTGAGGAGGAGTGGGTGCTATTACACACAGGAAGGTACCATTTCAGATCAATGTTGGATTATTTTGAAAGTCAGGTGTGCATGTGGCAATACTGGTGAAAAAAAATTATATTTGACACAGTGTATTTCTTATCAAGAAAAAGTTAATTCTCTATATGCATCACATTAATTAAGGTCCTGATATTAGCTAGTTCACATATTTTGGTAATGAATTTTTGACTTAGATGAAGAATGACAAATGTGCATGGCTGTTTGTTGTTCAGGGTATTATATGTAACACCAGATGGAGCTTTCAATCAATGATTCACTCATACAGAGCTTTCTTGAAGTAAAGAACTTTATAGTATATGTTACTGTGATGTAACTGTATTATTTCTTCAAGAAGTTTGGAAAAATTCTAGATGTACTTCTTTGTCTAGATGTTCAGGTGTTTAGTCACAGTTTTTCTAAAGTTCACAGGCTGATTAGTACAGGGCCTTTGAGAAATTCCTTGACTGTGGAACCCACAAGAACATGAATGGAAAGTTAAATGGAGTCCTTAAGAACTTCAAAGTTTTTAGTTTCTTTATTGTTCAGGTATTTTTCCTTTAGAAGACAACTTGACACATCCCTCTTTAAAGTTTCAGAAAAGCAGAGATATTCCTGTTTGAAATTCTCTCAGCATTTGAAAAGACAAAAAACATTCCTCAGGTTGAGGAACTAGTGGGTATGTGTGGTATCTCCTTTCTTAAAGAAAATTAGACTACTGTCTTCACTATCACATGTAAGTTATCCAGAAATGGACATAAAAAGAAAGGCGAGCAGTATCATTAAATATGGTAGTACTTAATAGTAGCAATCATGATGAAACAAAATGGAGTCCATAAAAATTGCCCATTTAAAACCACTTTTAAAATGTCTGAATATTAACAATGACTATTTCACAGTATTGGCTGAACAAAACTAAAGCTTCTTGTACTTATAGAGCTGCATAAATCCCTATATATGTGTTTATGGAGTAAATCAAGATTTCACTATTTTAACTAATTTTAAATCATACAGAAAAAAAGACAAACCCCTTATTGCACTAATTATTTCACAGAACTCTTTCATCTGGGGTCCCAATGATTCTTTTTTTGTACTGGAAAGGACACTAGTATATATATATATATATATATATTTGGCTCAGACAAACATAATTACAGTGATTTGCCAAAGTAGGGATAATTTTTTAATTTTAAGTAAGTTTTTGTAACATTAAAACTTTCTGTATTACTATAGCTAGGTAGTTTATGTATATATTGATCCCTACTTGTCTTTATAAAATCAAAATATTTTTTATTATACTTGTTGATAAAGTGACTTGTTGAAAGCTTCAAGTCCCTTGACAGTGCTTTTTAATATTTACAGGCATTTAGTGATTGGAGCATACAAACTAAAGGAGCAACTCATCTGAACCCTTGGAGTCTTGAATATTTGGTTCCTTGTTCTTCAACAGCCCCAGTGTTCATAAGGGAGATGTATTACCATTTGAGGTTCAACCAAAATTTGAAATGACAAAAGGTGACTACCAAGATACAGGTATGCTTTGTGAGGACATTCCTCAAATTGAAGAGTTTTATAAAGAACAGGGTCATCAAAACATATCTATATTAAGTATATATATATATATATTGTTTTATTAGTAAAAAGAAAAATTAAAGTGCTTCATTTCACTAAGTTAACTTAATAGTCAAGCTAACTCAATGAAACATTTAAGAAGCTATTTTCTTTTCTAACGAAGTTTTAGTTATTGCCTTTTCAGATTTTGCTTAACCTCTTAACTTCTGTTTCACTTTCTAGTGCCTAGTTTCATGCATTTGTCTCATTCTTAGTACTGTCCTATGTTATTTCTCATACCTTCACTTTATTTCTGAGGCATTAAATCATGCTACAAAAGGGTTTTATGGAGATGTTCATTTTCTTTCTTTCACCACTTTGACCTGTAGTACTTCCTTTGCTCTATCCCTCCTTACTTGGTTCCTCTAATGTTGGAACTTATTGGATCAGGATGTTCACCTAACTAATATTAATCTGCCTCACTCTTATCTCTGTGAGCTTTATTGGGCTCCTTTTCTTCACCCAGAGATTTTTGGGGGGTTTCTTGATTCACTGGAGACCTGAGCTGAGGCAGCTAGGCATCAGTCCTCATTATCTACTTTGCTTTCTTGTCTATCTCAACCTTGCCTTTTTGTTACTGTTCCTAGGCCTGCTCAATCCACATCTCCCCTTCCCATTTCAGTTTTATTATCTTTTCTTCTTCTTCCCAACCTCTCACTTTGCTGCATCAGGGCTGTTGCTCATCCATCCTGCCAGGTCTGGCCCATCAGGAGTCTATCTGTCTCGCTTTGCCAGCCTTTGGTATATGTTTTTGTTTGACAGGTGGGTTCTACAGGTTCTCAATCATGGCATATTTCTCTGCTTTTTCCTGTTTCCTTTCCTCCTATTCATGATTATTTTAATCTTCAATGTCTCAAGGAGGTGTTCTTGAATCTCTTGGTCAAAAACATCATCAAGAGCACATTTATCTTTACTCCAGGATATTACTCTTGTCTTTTTGCTGCCCCCCAAGAAGACCAGTGATTGGCATCTGGTAATTGACCTTTCATTTCTCAACCAGTTTTTTTTCTCTCTGGTGGTCCTTTCCACCCAGTCTGTAGATGACTAAGGTTGATGTGTTGGATGCTTTTTTACACATTCTGATTGCCCCATCTTCCAGACGTTTTCTTCATTTTTGTCCACCAGAACCAAGTTTCCAGTTCCTTGCTCTTCCTTTTGGCATTGTGTCTTCTCCTTACTTCTTCAATCAAGTCATGGGTACATTTGCTCACCATGTTCATGGATTGGAGCTGAGGTTCCATTATTACATGAAAGATTGGTTTCTCATTCCTTCTTGAGAGGGTTCCTTCTCTCACACTTACATTCTTCTGCAAGAAACTGCTCAGCTGGGCTGGCTAGTTGAGCATTTCAAGTCTTTTCTCATGCTTACCCAATATTTGGTATGTATGGACATGTTTTTAATTCTCATCTTAGTCATGCTTAGCCTTCACCACTTTACCTGTGAGCAGTTGAATGTCTTGTCACCAATATTTTTACTTCTCATTTACACCCTGCATGTGAGGTTCTGTCACTTTTGGGGACTCTGGCTTCTTTAAAACCACTCTTTCCTTTAGGCTGTACACACATGCACCTCCTTCAGTGGACATTGCATGACCAGTGGAAATTTTCTCAGAATCTGTTGTTCTCGACTGTCCTTTTCTCAAGGCATTATTTTGGTGGTTTGACCATGCCAATATCACAGTGGGTGTCCTGTTATAACCCCCTTACCAGATCTCCATCTTTTTACAGATTCTTCTCTGTCAGGCTGGGATGTGTCTCTAGATGATGACATGAATTTAGGTGTGTGGGCTCCAGAGGAGAGTTCACTCCACATCAACATTCTCAAACTTCTTACTTCCCTTTCCTCCTTTTTCTAGTAGATATTGATTGGTCCTGATCCACTCTAACAATTCCATGGTTGTTTCTTATATCAACTGTTAGGGAGTATCCATTCCAGGACTCTCTGCTTCTACCCATTGGACCTTCTGTTTTGGGTTAATTCTCATTGAGTATGTTTCATAGCTTGTCATGTGTTATGAGCTATGAACTTGATGGTAGATTGTCTCTCTTGGCTGGACTGTATTTTACTCATGGAATGGTCTCTCCACCCTCAGGTTTTTTATTGGGTTTGCTTTCAAGAGTGTTAATGGATGCTAAATGAAAAACATATTAAAGTATGAATAATTTGTATTTGTAAAGTTCTTTTTTCAAGTGACAAGAGAAGTAGTTTTAATGTGTGTTTTAAGATCAGATACCTCATTATTATGTGCTAAATGTTGTTCAAATATGATGATAACTTCAGTTTAAACCGATTTTCAAAGACAAAGGTTGGAGTAAGGAGCTGAGATGCTTATTGTCACTGTCAGACTTATTTTAGATAAAATCTCAAAGGCTTTTACATGTATGTAAATGTTAGAAAAAGTAAATGAGCTAAACTAGTTTGTTTGAAGGCATTTAACAGAAACTTGATATTAAAAATTAGATCTTTTGGGGGAACAGAATATTGCTTTTCAAAGTTGGGTTATTTAAAAAAGAGGAAAAAATCAAAATGCTTTGATATATAATATAACCTTTGAATTTATTTATTTGGTTCTACTTGTAGTGTTTAACTGTTTAATCTCTAGATTTAATTAGTTTTAACATTTACAGTACTTTAATTTTTAATCCTGAACTGTAATATATTAGTATTCATTAAACTTGATTATCCAACATTTCACAAATTAAACAGTAGTATGTTGTGCAAGATTTTTCATTTACAATCCAATTTTTATTACAGTTATTGCCTGTCTTAGTAAAATACAGGCCTATATGGCTTCAAAAATACATGAACTGAAATTAATTCAAGCAAACATAATTTCAAAAGAGTAATGTAATTACTTGTTTATTGCTTATCATTGCTGTAAGCCTTTTATGGAAACTGGACACCAAATTTAAAAAGAAAATATCAATTTTACTTTTGAGGGGCCTCTGGCTCACTAAGAGTCTTTAGTCCCAGAGACTAAATATTCTCCTATTATCTTTGACATTGGAAAATAGTTAATGTAATTAGTATTTGTGTAAAAAAAAAAGAAAGAGAGAGAGAGAGGATCCAGGAAACTATCAAATTTCTAGTTAAAGTATTGTAATCTGTTGTAAGAAGTAATTTAGCAAAACATTTGTGGGTTTGGCATTTAATTAATTATCCACACCAGTATAGTTTTAGAAAAAGGATTGTCTTGCTTTATCATTTTATGCACTTTTTGTAAGGTAGGACCTCTTCAAGTTTCAGATGAAGTCATCCTGTTTGATGTTGTTTTCTTTCAGTATCAATAAACATTTGTAATAGATTTATTAGTAAGTAAGATGATAATGGGATTAGTAGAGATGTTAAGACGCTGAAAGAAAATTGGGTTTGTGGTACATGTCAAATGTAATGATAAAAGGTAATTTTTGTGGTTGGAGAATGTGACTAGTCGTCCAATTCTTTATTTCACTTTTCAAATTATTGTGCAGATGTAAAATGTAAGTGCTATCTTCTTCAGTAAGCTTTAAAGAAAACAAATAGTTTTCATAATGTTTAATTAACACAGTCATGAAAATGATCAATGAAAAAACAACAACTTAACTCCATTAGTTTTCTGTATTGGCAAACAAAGAACTGTGTAGTCAATGTGTAGTAGATTTAATAAATCTGTAATTAAGATATGGGTCAAAAGAAAGTTCTAATGATGACTCAGATAAATCTGTTAATGTGTTTACATACATGTAACATTGAACAACATCAAATTACATGTCAACTTCCTTACATATATAGTTGATGTAAATGATTCAATGGCATAATCAAATGTATATATTAGCATAAATGTGATTTTAGATAAACTCATAGTAGAATTAGACAATAGAATTAATTTTACTGGGACTGGTCAAAGTGGTTAGGCAATTTGGTTGGAAGAAAGAAAGACATAGAGAAAGGTAAGAGAAAATATTGGGAAGTCTAATGTTAAAGGAATCAATGCAAATCTAACAAAAATGTTGCTTATTTAAGACAACATGGGAAATGCTTTGAAATGGTCCATTGCAGTTTTACACTTAATTTTGAAGGCATTTACCATTACATAAGTGCCAAAATAAGAAGAATATTTGGAAAAGTTCTTATTTCTAAAGTTACTTCAGTAGGCTTATGCTCATGAATTTAAGTAGATGTCTTATAGATATGGCTAGGTGGTTAGGATGCTTGACTCGCATTCTGAAGGTTGCTTCGAATCCACGTCCCACCAAACATGCTTGCCCTTTCATCCATGGGGCATTTTAATGTGACAGTCAATCCCACTATTTCTTGGTAAAAGAGTAGCCCAAGAGTTGGTGGTGATGACTAGCTGCCTTCACTCTAGTCTTTCACTGTTAAATTATGGACGGCTAGCACAGATAGCCCTCGTGTAGCTTTGCGTGAATTTCAAAACAAAACAAACCTATAGAAATTGTAAGTTGAAGTTGAATTTTTAAGGTTTAGGAATTTTGATTTGTTGTTATTTTGCATTAATTATCTTGCCATTGTGTGATATAATTTGAACATTTACAAGTCTTTAAGGATTAGTTAATTTTTTTTTTCCATTTCTACAGGTTTTCCAAAACATACTTACCTTCCACTGACACCTTAACTATTTCTAGACATTGGCTTTGCCAATCTGAGCATTGGTCTCACATGCTCCAATCTTTTATACCTCGCTTACATGCCCTTAGTAATATCTAATTTGCAAATTCTTCCATCTGCATCAATGCACCCTCTATCCTGACACTGTATATTAGCACCTCACTCAGATAATATAATCACTTTTTCTCGACAGCATGTTGTTATGGTTTTGTATGATGAAGTACTGTGGTTCATTCTGTTATGGATTGTGATTTTCATGTTGCTTTGTGGATTTCCATATAATTATGATTTCCTTTAAAAAAAATTTTTATACATGATGTTTGCAGGTATGAATTCCTGTATTACTATTGTCAGCACGGTGGTTCATCCAACTTCCCTATTCCTCTAGTGTCTCTCTACGATTGGGGGGGGGGGCACTCTCAGGTTGAGGCTGTCTATGTTTGGATCCATTGGGAGATGGAAACATATATTTGGCCCAGGGTGTTTTTCTCCTGGGGCCTCTGAAGTTGCCTTTTTCGTTGATCCTGGTTATTCTCGGAAGAATTTAGACTTGGTTTTTCTGATGCTATTCTTTATTATGTCGTTTTTTCACAGGTTTGGATTAACCACCTCCTACTCCTTTTCTTCAATTAGTCATTTGGGTTATGAGCTTTTGGGGTTTTTCTCTGTGACCTTTAAGGCTACTCCTCCCTTGATGGTGGAATGGTCTGGTGGGAGGATATTTCATTTTTCCTTCTTCACTGCTTTCTTACTTGAAGGATAGATATACCTTGTACCCTCGTTTGTCTGTTTGCATGCTTTGTTTTCAACTTCCAGGGGGATGTATTTTTTCTCTTCTACAGATTAAAATTATTCAATTTTGGATATATGGGGTTCCAGGTTAGTTTATGTGATCTCTTGAACTTATCACATTTTTTTGTATTTGTTTGTTCCTCATTCTTGCTCTGTGATGTTTCTTCCCCTGCAAATTGTTGGCAGCCTATCAATGTTCCCCACATTAATTTGCAGATGAATGGGGTTTCCTACTGACTTTTACCTTGGTCAGAATGCCTGCTTCTGTTCCTTCTGTAGAGATACCTTGGTGAAGGGACTTTGTCTACATGCTGTAGCCTCTGAGTGTTACATGTGGCTTCCTTCTATTGTCACTTGATGTTTGTGGGTGTTCCAGAGGCATTTGTATTGCAAATTTCCATCACAGCATTGTTATCAGTCAGGGGGGGTCAGTTATAGTGAGTTTACCATTAATGATGGAACATAGTATTCCTTCACTGCAGACCCATGAGCATTTTGTGTTCTGGTATCAAGGTTGGTTTTTCTATTCCATTATCCACTTCCATGATTCTCTCACCCTGTGGTATTTTCACCTCCTTCTGACCAGTGGGGTGTGGATTTTTGTTTCACGGCTATCAGTTACTGATCATGTGCATGGTTTTGACGGTTGATCCCATTCTTCTAGGATTTTATTCCTGTTTATTTGTTGTGCCTGAGACAAGGGGAGATTTGTGGATAATTGTCAATCTTTTTCATCTCATCTCTTTACAGGCAAAGAATCTTCTGAGAGTTACACCTCATCAGCTTCAGCACATTTATGTCTTTCACTGATTCACTGGGAACATTATATGGGTCTGTATGTGGACTTCTCCAAATGCTTTTTTCCCACATTCTTTATATGATCTGGCAGTTTTTCTTCTGGGAGTTTTCCACTACCCCACATGGCCATTTTAGCAACATCTGCTATGTTATATGGAGGAGGGAGTAATCTTATCTTGTCTTTCTTTTTCAGGGTCCCTTACATCTTTCACTGGATCCCACTCTGTGGTGAGTGTTGACCAGACAGGTGTGCTTTTATCACACCAATTCTGTATTAGCAACCCATTTGACTAGACTTAATTCTGGTTGCAACAGGCTCTGTAGAAATGAGGTGTTCCATAAGACCATCTAGGCACATTACCGGATGGTATTACCATATAATCATGGACTGCTACTCATGGACTATCATGAGTAAAGCTGAAGGGAATCGGCATGTTCCTGCCGATCATCGGTTTGAATAAATCGGGGTCGGTTTGCTTTTAAAAAGTTAGGGAACTTGTTTCACCTGTTGCACTGTTTCCAGAGCACTGTTCCTCAACACTCCCCAATGCATGTTGCCCCAGATTCTACTATTGGAGCTGGGGGCCCTTCTACCCGGGTCCCTGGATGTATTTTTCAGATGTTGGTGGGAGCAGCACTGGCCTACGTTGGAACCTACTCGTGATACCAGTTCAGATTTCATCCTACTCTATCCAGTTGGGGTGTGCTTAGCACTTATGTACAATTTCAGTTTGTATAATGTTAGTTGATGGAGGTCCGCTATCTTCTCGTAATTCCGAACGCGAAGTGGTCCCATCATAGGTCCTTAGTTGAACACGGTGTTACACGTCCTCTCCATAATTCCAGGGGCAAGTGGAATGCTTCTTGCCCACTCAGTTTAAGAGTGAGGATGAATGTTCATAATTCCAGACTGGATGAGTTCTGTTCCTTTGGTTGAGTAAGGCATATATATGATTCCGTCATTCCGAGTATGGGGTGATGCCTTTTGGACTTCTTCAGGTGGAAGAGAAAGTTTGTCCACTTCAGAGTTGTTTACTTTCTTATTATAATTCCAGTGGTTCAGAACACATCACTCTATGGCTGTAGGTTGGGATCAAATCAAAAGTAGATCTATATATCGCATTGCGATACAGTTTTCGTAGCCACCAACGTGGGATATAGGAACCATGACCCCTTAATTCCAACCCTGAGTTGTGGAACCTCATTTATCTGGTTGGAGCTGGCCTATAATAATTACTCATATACTATTCCACCAATATAAGTTCTGGGTGAAGAGAATACCAGTTGTGGATGTAGTGCAGTTTCCCCAATTGGGTACCACTCTTATCTTAGTATGACCTGTTTTATGGACAATGCCCTCACCAGTCCCTCCAACTTCTCAATGTGGGATTCTAGCTAAAGTGTCAGATGAGGGTAAGTATGTTTTGGAAGATAACATTTTCCTAAATTGAAAATGTTTTTTCCAATAATACTTACCTCCACTGACACTGTCCTGCCCTTCCTCCACTAAGAGCAGGTGTTGGTGACTGGGATGGTATAAGTCTCAAAAAAGTGATTATTTTATCTGAGTGAGGTGCTTATATACAGTGTCAGGATAGAGGGCGCATTGATGCAGGTGGAAGAATTTGCAAATTAGATATTGCCAAGGGCATGTAAGTCAGGTATAAAAGACTGGAGCAAAGCGAATGTTAAGGAATAGCAAAAGTGTCAGCAGAGGTAAGTATTATTGGAAATACATTTGCAATTTAGGAAAATGTTAACTTTTTTTATATTGTGTTTTTATCAATAAAGACAAAAACTTTATAAAATTGAATAATATAGTGTGGTGTAAAATCAGCAATAAAACTTGTTAAATTTTAGGCTTTTCACCAAAATAAACATTTGAACTGTGGACCTAGTTGTGTCAAAATCAGAAGTATTATGTTGAAATTCTAAAAAGAAAAATTATGATACAAGTGTTTTCTAGAATACCAAATGACTTTGGTGCAAACGAGTGCAGGAACAGGATGTCTTGGGATGTGCTTAGTAAATGGTTTTTAGCTAAATTTAGACTTATGCAATTTAGTTTAGTAGTTTAGGGATTACTCACTTTAAGAGAGTCACGCTTATAACTTTACTAGCTTATAGTCTGTCAAAAATGAAGGAACAAGTACTTCCACCCCATAGCATACCCTAACCTCACATTTCATAGCTAACTGAAATAAATAAATTTTGTGAAATCAAGCTTGATCAACAAAGAGGCAGAAAAGTGCAGTTGAAGCAGTCAAACATCAGTAACTTCCTTTGTAAACCCATCAAATTAAAATCATTCATGAAATGAATTTGTGGCATATTCATATAATAACTATTGGTAAAAATCAGTTACATTAACACCTCTAATATATAGAAAAGTTGGTGCATTTTCGTAACACTACATTCCAACAATGGCTTTTATGTCATGTTGCTTAGCAACAAAAGTATAACATAATATTGTTGTTAGTCTATGTACTGAAAGTATAAAATGTATTTGTATTGACAACAAAACTAGAAAAATATTTGTTCTTTTCTTAATTTAGAATCTCCGTTGATTAAAGAAGTTTATTTTTTACTAAAAATGTTGGTGATATAACAGAAAATAACTTAATTCAGAAATGATTTAAATTTAAAATTGAATCAATATTTTTACTATCATGATAAATTTTATGCACTTGACTCTAGGCTAGGTGATCCCACACTACATCTTTATTTTAGGCTTATTAAACCAACGCTCACTAACTTGTAAGGTTTCATGACCCCCCTTGTACCCCCCGTCAAATCAAATTAAGCAAATAGGAAATCAAATTTAAGCAAAAAATACAGATGTATATATTATATATCATGGTAAAGAAATTTGTAATTACCTTTAGATACTCTTCTAATACGCCAACCTTTATTAATTACACATCATAGAAGGTATTTTTTCTATAATCAAAATATTGAACTACTAAACACAGAAAGGGCACAATTAGTCAGCAGCACTTTGAACCAAATAACTGGATTGACTCATTTTTAAAGCTTAAAGAAAGGGGCTGATATGTGCATGGCCACTGAAAAAGTTTTGTAAAAGTGTTAGTTATTTCTTATTATTATTATTTTAATTTTACTTGAATATAACCACCACATTACCAAATTAACTCTCTTGAAAAAACTAGGTGTTTTTTTTTTAAATGTGTAGGTGCTGATTGGTAGAAGAAATAAATATAGAAGCAAAATGAACCACTCTTAGGGTAGGTAAAGAATACATTTATGATTATGGGGACTGAAAAAAGTTCTGACAGAAACTTAGTGTACAGAACGTTACTGCTAACAGTTGGTTATATATAAACAATGAATTTGACAGGTATTTTTAGAGAGAATTTGAAATTTGTGTTGATTTCTCTATTACACAAGTTAATTTTGAGTGCATGGCATTGACATTTTATTTTTGATGTATTGTTTTTAGGATGAGGGAGTTTAAAGTTGTTGTTCTGGGAAGCGGGGGAGTTGGGAAGAGTGCTCTCACAGTTCAGTTTGTATCAGGATCATTCATGGAGAAGTATGATCCCACAATAGAAGATTTTTACCGAAAAGAAATTGAGGTGGACTCTGCACCTTGTGTTTTGGAAATTCTAGACACTGCTGGTACCGAACAGTTTGCCTCCATGCGAGATTTATACATCAAAAATGGACAGGGGTTTGTTGTTGTGTACAGCATCACGAGCCATCAAACATTTCAAGACATTAAGAACATGAAGGAACAAATTATGAGAGTAAAGAATCTGGAACGTGTTCCAGTGATTCTTGTTGGAAATAAAGTAGATCTTGAACAGCAACGAGAGGTAAGCAGCATGGAAGGAATGTCTCTAGCCCAACTTTGGGGATGTCCTTTTATGGAAGCTTCTGCCAAAAACAAATGCAATGTGAATGAAATGTTTGCTGAAATTGTTCGTGAGATGAACTTTATTTCTGAACCAGAAAGACCCAGTCATTGTTGTGTGGTTCTCTGATGCAGGTAGGTAGCGTGGCAGTAAAATTCACATTAGTCTTTATTTTTAAGTATAAAAAAGATTGTTTTAAAGGATACTTATGGATTGTGAATCAATCAATCCAAAATATAACTCATAATATTGGAAACACATTGTAATGAACATGGCTGATTGAGACGAGAATTAATTTTGTCATGTATGCCATATCAAGTGGTACTTATTTTTTTAAGTATCACATCATACAATTGATTGCACTATGGGGTCATTTATACCAAGGAATTGCATGAAAGCATTAATAACAGTTTGTATATTAAAACATTTATTAAATATTAGGTAGGAACAACTTGTATATTTCTTGAACTAGTTAGACTGGTTACAGTATTAAGCCTAAGATCTAATAATGCTACTTATGTTTAATGCAGTCTCTCATTAGTAGATTGAGTATGCTATCGTATCAGTTATTTAGTATGTGTAATCTTGTTCTAGATGTTTATCTAGAATTTAAGTTAGGTTTTAAAGACAATTTGTTTATTTAATTTTTACTTCAAGATTGTTTGACATGCTAAATATTTGTAAAATTAATTACTGCACAAGACATCGTCATAATAATAAACATGTATCATGGTCTTCACATCATGCTGTGGCCATATGATTATGGCTATGAGACACAACATAAAAGGCAAGGCTTTTATTGTAATTTTAATTCTCCTTTACACAAACTTCTATTCTGTGTATCACAATTTTTTCTGCAAAAGTTAAAACTGAAATTCGGTTAGATTCAAACTCATGACTACTAAGTGAATGATTCTTCTGCCAACTAAACAACAGTATTTTGAATGCCCCAAATCTCAGTTTTTGTGTCATTGGTTGCTGGCATAACTGTCCTTTTTAGTTTTTATCTTTAATAATTAATGAATTGAAAATTTTTAGTTTTCAATAGTGAAAGTTTAGTTGACAAAAGAGTCCACATGGTTAGCAGAGTTGCAAATCTTAATTCTGCCTACTCTCAGTTTTTTACCAAAAAAAAGTGTTATTAATTATTTCATAAGAACCACTGTGACTAATTCTTGGCATTTAATGTCCTTACTAAACAATATTGGTAATTAGTAGGTGATGGTTTACAAAGTATTATTTTCCTCAACAACATAATCAATTTAGCTTTTACTGGCTTCTTCATATTAATGGATTTATGGCTAAAAACATCATTAATAGTGAAAGTATCAAACTAATGAATCAATGCATACTAATCATCATAAGTTTTAGTTTCCTTGTGTGTTGACTTATGACATTATATCCTAATCATTTTGTTTTTTAGACTTAGCTTACTTTAGATTGCAAGTTATTAATAGTTTTGTGAAGAGAGGTCAGTCTGTCAAATGTTTTTTCCAACACGAGTCTACACCACATTTGTCTTAGGTCAAAAATCATAAGTCTTATATTTTGTTTTTATGAAGTAATAAATACATTTATGACAATTTTATGACTTGAATTGGAACATTAAGATAAACAAGTATAATCTTTTTGCACAAAGTGCAATGTAGGAAGTACTATATTGTAGTGCTTGTACTATTATAGAAGTTATCCTCTTGCCAATATTCCAATTTTGTAAACCATATTTTCAGGAATAGTTTCAAACAAATAATTTCATCTTTAAAACTACAATATCACTATGCTCCACAAAATGTATATGCTAATGGAGACTTGGAAGATAGTTTCAGAGACTGGTATTTATTATAGAAAATCTGTATTGAACAACTGGATAACAGTAACAGTTTTTAAACAACTTGTTATTTCTAAATTTCAATTATATTTTTGGTTTGCAGTGTTTTTATTTAATGTTTCGTGTACTTATTACTGTGACTGGTTGTTGGTACTTAATGTCTTTACGTAACACTGTTTGTAATCATCTATTAGTTATTAATGAAACATTCCTTGAAGTTAGCAAACACTTAATTTCCTGAGACTGTATGTGTATAGCAGAAAAGGAGAATAAATATGGGTGAGTTAGTTTTGTGATCTTAAACCTTTGGTGGCATGTTCAGTGATGTGAGTGAAAACCCCAAATTGTAAAATGTAAACTGTTTGATTTGTTATAAATTAAACATTTTCACCTCAATAATTAAGGTAATGAAAAATTATTCTCCCCCACCCTCTCCAAGCCTGATGGTTTTACATATATTTACATACTAAGAAAAAATGTACCACACTAGTATCATAGTATCATGACAATAATGCTAGGAAGTTTTCACTTTTCGTGCATGTACATGTATGTGATAACTACTCAGGTGGATATAATAGTTCTCTGGAGTAGAAAAATGTAAAAAAGTTAAAAATAGTGACTAATTTGCAAGAGTATATCTTTCTAAAGTGATCTTTTCATGCATAGATTCTTAATTGAGTAAGTGGTAGCATATACTCATACCAGCCAAGTTAGTGATTTAACCCATTCACTGTAGCTGGGAAGTATATTTCTCAGTGTTCTCACCCCCCTCACACTGTGACTGAGACAAATGTTTCCCATTGTGGCTCTATGCCTTCCTCTGCTGGGTCCAGGTTCATCATCTTGACTGTCATCACTAGATGGAGAGCTAGCATCCTCTCGTCTCATTGATTCTTCATCATCACGCAGTTGAACACCATTTGAATCACTTTCAATATCTACTAAGCTATCTGAGTCAAGTGCATCAAGCATATTTACATAGTAATTAGGGTTATGGTTACTACTTGCCACTCTAGTTATGCAGGCACGGTTGACATGCAGTTGTCATACATTCTGTTTAAACATCTTGTTGGTTATTGAGGGGCTGAGTGGAAAATGTTGAGGGAAATCATGTGTCAACATTAGGTGGGATGCCAATAAATACTTTCCTACTCATTTTACTACCATACGTTATTCACAGCAGTTTTTAATGACAATGGGAAACATTTGTTTCAGTCGCAGTGTGAAGGGGTGGGAGCACTGGGAAATATATGTCCCAGCTGCAGTGAAAGGGTTAAAACATATTTGTTTGCACAATGTTTGATGTTTTTTCCTTCACGTATTTTATTGTTACAAGGGCCAAAAACAGTAATCATGCCAGCCAAGTTAGTAAAAATTAACATTTTTCGTTTCTAAAGTGTTCTTTTCTTGCACAGATTTTGAAGGTGCAAGGTCCAATGCATTATACCAGTCTATATTGTATCATCCCTAGCCAGCAAAATAAATAACACCACATTTGATATACAGTAGAATTCTAACTAGTCAGGAACTAAAGAAAAAAGATATGTATATTGGGGTATTACCAGCTGCATAGAACTATATATATGTGACATAACCAATGTACATCACAAGCTGTCTTTGCATGTACAATGCATGATAATCTTGACATGGCATGTAATATGGATCTTACTGCATATTTGTCTCCTGGTGGGACAGCATTAAGTTTATGGACTTATAATGCTAAAATCTGAGGTTTGATTTCCCCATAGTGGATGCAACACATAGCCCATGTGGCTTTCCTCTAAAACAAGCAGAAAGTGTGTCATTCTTTCCATATCATGTGGGCTACTAAATTAATTAATTAAAGTACTTATTTTTGTATTAAATGCTGCAGTGTAGTTATTTGGTTAATTTGGGTAGTGTAAACATTCTGTAGCACTAGACGCTTAATATAGAGGCAAAATAGCTTATGTTTATGTATAATTGATTATGGGAATTACATTTCACTGGTTTCTGGAAATGACATCAGGGTGCTACATATGGTGAGATTTGTTATATAACAAGAAGAAGATATAGACAACTGTTATTCTGTCAGTAACAGTGAAAGGCACAATATGATGCTAAATTTGGAACAACAGATCTAATTGGGCCAACAAAATGGCTATAGTACTGAGGCAGCAATTTAGACAAACTGCTGTAAGACTAATAATACAAAGACTATGCATAGCTATTGCTTTCAGTAAATTGGTTAGAAGGTTCAAAGAAACAGACAACTTTGGTCAATTGTCCAAGTTCACATTGCCCACAAACATCAGTGGACATTATTGTAAAGTCCCACATACCAATGAAACCCTCACTACTGCAGTAGTATAAGCATTATCCAGGATGTATCACATTAAACTAACTTACCATGGTTGACTGTGCATTAATCTTCACATGTTCCCCTATACTACTTGCCATTTCATCATTGAGGAATGAATATCCCAGGGATTAGCAGTGTACACATTTACTAGATATCTCATTTATCATGAGCTGTTGCATATTTGTATTATACCAGGACCAACTAGATGTCCCTTGAATGTCAACATTCATATAGGATGATGTTCACCCATCCTGTATCTACTATTCAGTAAACATATTACTCATGCAGGCTTTTGGTGAGAATAGGTTCTCAACCACCACATCCAATATGTCTCTCCAGCACACTCTCTTGACCTCACTCCTGTTTGATTCTGGTTATGGAATTTTCTGAGGATGGAAGTCTCACTGCCATAACTCAACAACCATTCCACAGCTTAATGATGCCATTAAAACAGATGTTCAGGTAGTACTTTTGCAGACTTCAATATCCAATGCTATTGTAAGAATGGATGCAGTAACTAAAAATGAAGCTAAATTATACTCTCATCCCTAGTGCCACTTCCAGAAACCAGAGAAGCACACTTCTTGGGACCTCTTACTCAGTATTTTATTCTAGAGACTTTTACAAATACCCATGTTGAGATATAATCATACCTTATCCTTTATTTTTTCAAATTTAAGCAAAATGATGGAAAAAAAAGACAGCAACAATATTAATATTTGGCATATTTTGTATTGTCTATAAGTTTTATTCAGATATTAAAACTGCATCACTTCGAATGTTTACTTTGATCATAAGTTTATTTTTTGTAAGTGTTGTAATTTATGGCTGACTTATCAGTTCTACCCTTTGGATTGCTTATTAATTTCCTTACTTTTAATGACTTTCTTTGGGTTAAAATCTATGTGTATAATATATATTTTATAATTCATTATATGGTTAACATTATTTTTTTCTCTTCAAAGGAAAAATGAATGGATGGCTTGGAAGATGTTTACAGGAAGAAAACTGAGCTGTGCCTTCCATTAGGGTCTGAACCAACCAGAATTTGACATAGATAGTTTCTGTGCAATAATTTCATTGCTCCTAAGATTGCTGCTGATGTTTGAAAGATCTCTGTAGTCCTTTTTTTCTTTTTCACATGTTCACTTCCTAAAGTCAGCATCTTCTCAGAACACGTGCTATGCTTCATGTCTGTGTGTATTAAAACATCAATGTGGATGCATATTGTATAAAAAAAATTTCAAGCAAAACATTAGTGAGATTTTTTCTAGCCAAATATCCAATTCAAGAAATTAAGAATGAGTTTTGGAGCCCAAAGAAATCTTAGAATGAATTAAGGAAACTTGTTGTACCTTAAAAGCTGTTTTAGACAGTATAAGGTGCTGATTTTTATAGACATTGTTTTTGAAATGAAAATTTATAATTTATGAGGATTATTCAAAGATTATTATGGAGCTTTCTGAAAACACAAGTCTATCGACCATTCCTCAGCTGAAGAATGCCATTACAGTAGCATTTCAGGCTATTCCTGGGGAGTTAAGTGCTGGCAAGTTCTAATTTTGTAGCATGACATTGTGCATGGATTTTTTTGGTTGATTCATGATGACCTGGTTTTGGAAATCTGTAAATACCCGTAATGTAGAATGGATTTGTAGTTTCCAGACAAGATTAAGCCAAAAATAATGTGTTTTCATAGTATAAAGTTCATAAAACCTAGTTATACTTTATAAATACATTTAGACAAAGGAAACACGAGTACATTTGAAAACACATTATTGCTGTATTTGTGTGATTTGAAAATAAGTAAGGGTAGTATAGGTGGGAAAAAATAAATTCTGTTTGATATTGCAAAAAAAAAAAGCCTTAAATGTTTGCTATATTTAAAAATTATCAAAAATATAATGTGTATCAAGAAAATGTGGTTATAATTTTATTAGAATTTTGAATAAGGCTTTGAAAATGTCAGAAATTCTCAAGTAAGTCAAATGTTTTAAAAATAAGTAAAAAAATACCTTTTATAGCAACAATGACTTTAGTAGGTCGAGGGATATAGCTTTTCAGGCAAAAGTAAAGATGTTTCATGTTTCTCTTGATGCATAAGATAAAATGCAAAGTCTAATTTGAGACATGATAGTCACAGCCAAGTGTGTGTGTGTGTCAGTTTTGAAGATGGTAGAAGAACATACAGTACAGTAATAATACCAAAAGGTACTCTATTTAAACTCAGTTTTTCTATAACATTTGGTCAAAAATACTTATTAGACATATTTCCTTTGTATTGAATCATAAAGTTCCAAAAAACGTTAAGTTTTTAGCACTCGTACTGAAACTTCATGTACAAAAGAGCAGTTCCTGAAAAGTAAAAAAATAAGCATAGGTCTTTTGTTAAACGAAACTTTTTCTAGTACACCATATGAACTTTAATTTGTGAAACATTTAACTGAGTAATTGATCAGTCCCAAAAGGTAATCGCCAAACGATTTCATTCAAGCTATTGATTGTGAAATCTGGTATAACCTAAAACATATATTACTATAATCAATCAAAATATTTCCACCTTAAACTACAATATGATTTTAATTTTGGAAAAATTGTGTCTTGTTTAGTAATATGAAATTAATGAAACTTTATAAACAAAATATTTTTTACTCCTGACCTTACTTTCAAATGAATTAGACAATGGTGATCTTTATTTGTTGTTTAGCTTACACATACACATGTAATGAATTAAAATTTAGCTTTGAAGCTGCAATTGAAATAACTAAGGTACTGTATACTTCATTAAGAATTTCTGGTGAGAAGCACTAATAATGAAAGTAAAGATACATTTAATTGGTTCTTCAAACCTGTGATTATAAGAGCACATACAAAAGTTTTAAATGTGTGTACATTTCCCAAAATTGGTGCTGCAGCATGTATGTTATTCTTACTTTTATAATTGTTGTTCATAATCTTTGTACATTGATTTTTAGATTTTTGGACATTTTTGTCAGGTGACTGAGTGAGCAGCTGACAGTTTTATGCTGGTAATGCTCTTGGTTATGATGTTATAACAACTTAGACTTTTCAGTTGCCTCATTCCATGATCATTATTCTGACTTCATGGATGTCAGTAACACTGCCTTAGCTTTTCAAATTTTTATTCATCTTTTTAGACTTGTGTTTGTATTGTTCTGATTTCAATAACTGTTTTTTAGTTGGGTGTAATGTACCTTTGATGGCAATAATTGGACCTTGTAGGTTGAGGTAATTGTAGTGGTACTTCATTACATAGGAGGTAGCAAGTGAAGTATACACACGAGCTAGAGATAATGTTACCACATTGTTTGTTATATTAGTGTTAAAAATATGTAAAATCAAGATAATCTGATTTTTGCCTATTGAGACAATGGTGATGACACTGTACTGCTTACAGTAGTGGTAACAATATCATTCTGTTTGAGGTGGTTAAAAGTAATGTCTATTTAACATGTGGTGGTAATAGTATTTAAACAATTGTGGCAGTATATTACATTCATAATACTATACTAAAAGTTAAGTTAGCTTGAAGTAATAGTGCTGTTTATTATAAAATGGTTAAAACATAATTACAACTATAATGGGGGTATTTCTCTGAGCTGTTTTCCATACTTCAGTTCACAAATTTTATGAAATCTTTAACACTCACATTTATTGAAATAAAGCAGTTTTATTAGATACTATCTAAATCAAAATTGTGTTACTAATTATCTGTAAATTATTTTTGCATTATAATGCCTATTATATAATTAGAAAATTTATATCTACATATAAAAACTTAAAACCTTACATTATTTTATCAATTGTTACTTCGTAATAACGTACAATTAAGATTTGCTTCTTCAACATTCGGGTATAACTGGAATATTTGCACATTATTTTTTAAATCATATAATAGAAAGTGAGAACAGTATATTTATTGAACAGGATGTTGTGTTTGGTTGGAAATATTTTACATGATTGGCTTGTATATTAAAATTAGTTTTGTACATTTCAGATAAGATGGGATTATGATATCTGTAGCTGATGTCAAAACTCGGGTACCACTTTGTATACAACATATGTTAATGGTATTTTGTTTTGTAAAAAGTATTCTTAGTAATATTTGAACACTGCTGATAATAGCACAAATGGTATATTACAGATGCAATTACCTTCATATAAAATAGACTTTTAAATATTATCAAATTACTCTTTTTTTTTTCTGTATCTTGAACTCATAACAAATCCAGAAAAATGATAATTTATAGTTTTTTTCTTTGTCTATATTCAGATAGATCTGGTAATATTTTAAATTGTAATAGAAGTTCAATATATATGTTAAACTAAATCTTGATGACTTTACAACAAAGGCATTTTTTTATGAACTATATTCCTTTTTTTTGTTTCTTCCCATAATCGTACTTGTACAGTTAATTGTTTAAAATGCAGGTGGTCAAGGAAAAACTTTCCAATTTAGATGTACTCTGTGATATGAATTGTCTTTAAAATCATAATGATAATATAAACAGCTTATTAAACGAGGTTTAACAGCATAAATTGAAACAAAAACATGCTCTTTCTGACAAACATCTTAGAATGTTTTGGCCGGTCTTCTGGCATACTTTTAAATCTTTATACAAACTTTTTTTATTTCTACCATTATTCATATAATCCCAACATAGCTTAAACTTGTGTTTGTTTTTTCATTCTATTAAAAGGTAGGTTATTTCTTCCCATGAGCAAGAAAAATTATTTGGAAGTGGAAGGATGGGATGATGATCTCCAGTTAATGAAACCTGAAATAATGCTGAGTTACCTGGCATACCGTTGGAAAAGTTAGAGTAATTGAAATGTGCAGTAGAAAAAAAAAATTAGAAATTAAATACCTATTAAAAAGTTAAGAATTTATTTCTCAAAAGAAGAAAGTGGTACAGGTATGCGAGTTGAAAAACTAATTAGTGGAATTAAAAGGGAAAGCTTGCAAGAGAGAGGACAGAACACTGTGAGTAAATTAAGATATTAAAAGATAGAAGGACCTGTTGATACTTAAAACGTGTGTCAAAGGTCAGTGTTGAGAAGAAAAATGCTTAGTTTGAAAAAGTGTCCAGGTTTTGATGATTACCATAATTGTAGATAATTAATAAGATATTAGAAAGTAGAAATCTACATATTGAGTGAGGATACTTGCATATGCATTGATTAGTGGTTAGAGAGTGAGACAAATTATCATAAGATGGAAGTATGTGATGATGTTTAAAGTGAAATAATCTATCTACAGTGTCAATATATACATGTGCATGTATATGGAGTTCTAAGAGGATAGTGTAACAATATTTCTAAAGATTGTATATATTTAAACTGAAACTAAAAATGCTTTACCATCATAGCCTTACAACAGATTTTAAAACACAAGATTTTCAACTATTAATTCATCTTAACACTATTATTTATATCAATAAATATTCTATTAACCAATTGATGGTAAACACGCCAATGATTATTTATGATTCCTTTATAATTTTCATTCAGCATTATTACATACTTAGAAATGTGATTGTTGTTTGTAGACATGAAAAGAGGCAAATCCTCATATTTGTATTAAACTGTATTGTACATTTTAGATGTGCGTGTCATTTGTTTTAGAAAGTTAGTCATTGCCCCTGCTGTGGTTTAATTTAGCAAAACAGCAAATTGCTATTTTAACTTCAGATTATTGGATAGTTGTACATTGTATAATTTGGTCTAATACATTTTTGAAATAGAAAGGCTGAAAGATTTTTCATAACTGATTGTAAAGCAGTGTATTGTGTTCTTTAATCTGTGTAATATGTAAAATTTTTCTTTTTTAGTTTAACAATTCTCTGTGTTGTTATATACCGTATAGAAATTTTTAATATTCATTGTAATCATGATTGTCATTGCAGTATAGAAAAGTATAGTAAACATTATATTATAATAAGATCAGGGTGTGTTTATTAAAACACATACATGCATAATTAGTTTACCTTTGAAAACTTTCATTATAGAGCTCATTATTTTCAAGTACATCCTTTACCAAAAAGAAGATCCTTGCTTAAAAAATGACAAAATGGAATTATTCAAAATAATCACTGTCTGTCACTTTTCATCATTGTTTATTTCCTGATAGCTCAAAAAATCTATCAAGTTTCTACCCAAGATATAGGATGAAAAAATAAAAGGAATGGTATAAAAGAAATTAAATTGATTAAAGCACAGGTGTTGCTCAGTGTATAGCTTTTTAATTACTAACAGGACTTTTCCGCAGCACCAACTGTATTTTTTTTTGTATGTTGTATTTGTGCAGAAGTTGTATGTATGTTTGTCTGATGTTTCCAACTTACTATGCTTTTACCGATCTAATGTAGCTAGTAGCCATGAAGATGTTAACCATAGTGGTACATGTTTAATGATCGTATAATATGAACTTTATAAACTTACACAAAACATTACTAAAATGTGTCATTGATAGCTGGTTAATCACACACACTATAAGAGTAAGTTGCATGCCTAAAATAAGAGCCATGGCACTACAAGTAACATGTTTAGCACTTGTATATTTAGTTCATGGCAAATTCCTTACAATTTGACATCACTGTTATGATGTAAACTTGTGACTGGTCTGTCTGAAGAGCAATATTTCATACATTTGATGAAGTTCCTAGTTTGCTTTTTTTATGTAAAAATGGCAGATGATTTTATAGTTAATAAGAACACAAAAGGTGGCATAATTATATCCTCCTCTCAATTTTAAATAGTTATGAGAATTAAGAAGCATCATGTATTTAGGACTATATAATATATGTAAATAATTACTAATAGAACTGTTCGAACGTTATTGGGTTAAGGACTATGGAATTACTACAAACCTTAACAAATTTGTCAACAATTGCAAGCAACTGCAGTGAGATATACGTTTTGTAGTGTAAGTTGTAAAAGTACCTTACTAGGAATAGCAAGTGGATTAATCTTTTAACTCAATTGGTTGAGCACTTGTATGACATACGGTTTGATTTTGAGACCAGGAGATGCAAAAGTTGGTTTATCACAGAAATAATGGCTACTAACATTTGGCTTACAAGTCCAAGATAGGGGCCTGTTTGGTAAGTGAGGAAAGATGTAGTTGCTTGAGTTGTTAAAAAGTATCCTAGTTTTTCAAGCAGTCATCCGGTATGCTTACGGGAGACTCAAAAATGATATACCACACAGAAACACACATTGCATTGAGTGCTTGCATAATATGAACTGTACTATGAGAGATAACTTGTGGAGTTGCTAAGTTTTATAAGGCAGAAAACTTGGTGATTTGTCAGTTATTGCACCTACATATTTTGATAGTTACGATTACTTTTTTCTATGTTATCTTTACTGTAATGGTTGTAGCATGTATCTATGTATGAGATCGAAATAATACATAAATTGTGGCGCCATCTATTGAATGAAACCACAAACAACAATCCATAAAACAAATTCACTTTGGGTATTCAAGATTCACACAATAAGAAAAACAACTATAGTATGTGCAGCAAGCATTTCTTTATCACAGAACACAATTTTAAAAAAAGTACTCTCCTTACAACAAGAACACGACTTTCACTAGGACTGTAAGTGAGGATTTGATTATATCTTTATTGTTGTAATTTATAAATATGGTACCAAACAAGTGGAGTTCTAAAAAAAATTATTTTCTCAATAAAGGGTACCACTTTTAATATATAAAAACATTACAGTTTATATCAGCACAATCTGAACACTTTTCCTGTGTAGTACTTTCCAGAAAAATCCTTTTTTAGAAAATGTTCACTTTTTCTTAATTCTTCCAATGAAGTATAAATACTACGGTTAGTAATTATTAGTACAAACAGCTGCACGTAGGACGCCGTTTGTGCTTGTAAATTTAAATATATGAGGGCACCAAAGTTTTACCATATTGTTATCTACCTTCTTAGTATTTTTATAAGAGTTATAACAAATATGCAAGTAAATCTATCAAGGCTTCAATATAAATAGCAATGTATTTGTTAGCAAATTTGATCTACAAAAAGACCAAAAATACGGTTAACAGTGAGAGTACCCAATTGTTGAGACAATGCATTCTAATAATTATAAGTAACAGTTTGAACAGTATATTTAATTAGCTTGCTTTGATCAGAAGTTAATATTAATTCATCATGATTGAGTCAGCAACTCAGTTGGGAAACTATGACAATGGATATGGTAATGTAGTCTTGAAATTATAACTGTAGATAATGTAATGCAGTCTTGAAACTAATAATGAATGGAGTGTTGTACTTTTGAAACTATAACGTGCGAGAAAAGTAGAAATTATAAAGTTGGATACAGTAAAGCATTCTTGTAACTTTGACAACCAATACAGTAATTCAGTCTCGAAACTATAGTAAAGGGCAGTAAAGAAGTCTTAAAACTACAACACTATACACAGTAAAGCAGTCTTAAAACTATTACGTTGGATGAATTGGTGCAGTCCTGAGACTATAAATAAGTACAATTGTGCATTTTTGAAACTTATGACAATAGATGCACTAACAGTTTGAAACTTAACAATAGGTGCACGTCATTCTTTTTGGCATGACCATATTTTCAACTGCTTTTACGTCATCCATTCTAGATTTTAGTTGTCCGCGGGTAATTGCTACACTGATCAGAAAGTACGAGATAAATTATTTTTTCATCTTTCCCTGAAATTGGCAGTACCTCTACCTCGTTGTATATTTTTTGGAGATGATTTTACTCTATAGATGCTGCCATTCTGTTCTTTTATCTGTTTGTGTTTCAGTTCAAAGAGCAGGTTATGGGTGTGGGTGTAAAAACATTTATTTCACAGCTTGCTTGCTATGAAATGGTAGAGACGATGTTTGATAAAAGTTCCTCCACTGAATTTTTTTTTTATCTCTCTCTCTGTCTCTCTCGATAATAATGACTAAAATGAAAAATATAATTTCATGTTAACGATCAGATAAGTAAAACAGTTGTTGAATCCAGGTAAAAGTGTTAAAATTAATAAAGCAGATGATTTATTCTTATTAACTTTGGAATAATCTATCTGTTAAACTTAAGTAAACCACATAGACTGAGCATCAAAGTGATGGAACAAGTAAGATTAGCGAAAGATATCTTACATTTTAAAGTAATAAACCTAAAATAGCTAGGTTTGTCTAACTGTAAAGTGATTAGGTACGAAAAACAATGTTTGTTGAATTTCTAAATTAAAGAATGGTAAAGCAGATAGTCTATCTCTTGTTATTACTGATTGTTCACAGTCACACAAAATATTTAATTCTTTTTATTTTCTTTATAAGTGGTTTTTAGGTTATTGTAATAACTTACGTAATTATACTCGTGTCTCATAAAGTCAGCAGCGGAAAGATAGATATCAGTGATTTTAATTTCTGTTATCAAGCTGACGTTGTTACCATTTCTTCATAAGTGTTTGTTTTTTTAGCCTGCAAAGTGCTGGTTAAAGTGCTTTGCTTCTGATAAGTCTTTTTTCCGCTCTGATAAGAGTTTGAGTTTTGTTTGTTTGTCATTCAAATTCCACTTACTGTCTTTGAGATTTTGAACAATGCACCATTTTACTATTATTAGTATTGTAATGTTTACAGTCTACTTGAAGTGACCCCTAGTTTGCCAGTGCCCTCATTGTTTTATACATTTTCTGGAACAACATGAGTTAGAAATTACATTTAATTAAATAGGCTAACATTCGCGGGCGAATGCAACATCTCCGCCACGTAATCCCAACATCGAAAACTCTGTATATCACTGCTTGAGACCTGCAAGAAGATATCTTTAAAACCAAGTCCCATGTAAGTTGGTTGACATACACATGAATGGTTCACGAAAACCTCAAACTGTACTTTCTTTGATGAAAAACTAAGCAAAATACTCACCCCCTCCAAAATTGTCTATATCTCTGTTTGGAACCTGCATAGAGTATCGTTGTACCAAATTCCATGTAATGGTCGAAATAAGGCTAAGAAATTGGCCCAAACCCCTAAAACTATGGATTTATTTAACCTTTTGATTCCCTTAAAATGAACAAAAA